TATGCAAGAAGGGACCACACCGGTGCATGAATATCAAAGTAAGTAACTCCTGAAATGAACGAGGTGGTAATAAAACAATTAATTTGTTTACTTGATATAGAAATCATATACCATGTTTTCGAACGTAAGTGGGTGCGCCTGCTCATTGTGCCCTTCATTAATCAAATGCTTGAAAGATTGGCAAAGTTTCTATTACCTCGATAGATACTCTGGATTTTCCTAAATAGTTGTGCATCTCGGTGATCAAGAGAGATCAGCATTCATTTGCCCCTTCGATATGTATTCTTACCGTCTCATGACATTTGGACTTTCTAATGCTCTTGCTACTTTTCAAATATGTATGAATGATATATTTGTTGATTTCATGGAGGAAATTATGGAAGTCTTCATGGACGATTTTCTATCTATGGCACATCATTTAATGATTGCCTTCACAATCTTGAGAAAGTTTTGCAGTCCTTTGAGGACACTAACCTGGTTCTACACTGGAAGAAATGCCACGTCTTGGTAAATGAAGGTATTGTGTTGGTTCACTTCATGGCAAAGTCCCCATGGTCCAACCAAATAGCAGTGTTCCGGCGTATGTTTGCTTTCGATTCTCTTGGTTGCTATGAAAAAAAAATTCACTTTGCTCAGAATGCTCACAACGCCTTCTGCGCCTGCTCACTTCCTGGGGCTTGCTTGCCGCTCGCTGTAGGCCGACCCAACAACACACGAACGCAGTCGTCGTTCTCTGCAAAAGCTCAATCATTTGACCAATGAAAAGCACGGCTTGACCATTGATAAGGACCACTGACCACTCAACGTTCACCACTAACTTTTAAAAAGATCATGGATTTCAAAACATTCACAAAATTGAAAAAAAGGCAAGTTCAAAAAGATCATAAATTCGGAATAATTTCACAACTTGGAAAAAGTTCTTGATTTGAAAAACTTCACTAAAATATAAAAAGGTGATGAACTTAAAAATCACAAATTTGAAAACAAATATGACTTGAAAAAGTTCGTAAATTGAAATCGTTCATGAAAATGAAGAATGTTCACAAATTTGAAAAAAAAATCAAACTTTTGAAAGAAGTTCATAAATTTGAAAAAAATCATGAATTTTTGAAAGGTTCACTAAGTTGTGAAATGTCCATGAATTGAAAAAAAAAGTTTACGGCTTGGAAAAGTTCATCATTTGAAACAAGTTTGCAAACACGAAAAAAATCATCAATTATAAAAAATCATCGTTTTTTGTAAAAGTTGATAAATCTGAAAAAAGTGCACGAAATTTTTGAAAGGTTCACAAATTTACAAAATGTCCGCGCATTTGGAAAAATTAAAAACAGAAACCATAAAATAAAAAAGATAATAAAAAATGAGCAAACCGAGCAGACAAGTGCTGGGAAAAAAGAAGAAATCTAGCCCGAAAATAAATAAATAAACCAGTCCAAGAAAACCGGCGGGAACATTCCAGAAGGTTTCAAAAACCGGTGAAGGAGGAGGCAATGATATGGGCCAGCGGCTAGGGGAAAACGAAGTGGGCGCTGCTTACGGATTGTTCTGCACTTGGCATGTTAAGCGCAAAATAGCATTTTTCTCTCTCCTGTTCGCTTGCAGTTTTCAAGCATTGCGTCCAAATGATTTATATTATGGGTTTTCCCATTTAGCGTGTATCTGTGCTGGTTCTATGGTTTTGTTTATTTCATTTTTCATTTTCAATTCGCAGTTTTCCTGATTTTTTATAATTAACACGAAAATATTATTCATAAAAAAAACTGTAGAAACATTTTATTAAATAGTGATTGAAAAATATACATAGTTAAAAAAATTGACTTGCAATTTTATAATCCATGAATATTTTTTAAAATACGTGAATATATATTTTAAAACCATTAGCCTGTTTATTTTTCCTGAGCCAACTTCGTGTCTTTCCAAAGGGGCAAGTGCATTTGGTGTCTCCGTACTAGGTATATTTATTTCCATAGATATTTACAAACCATGATCACGTCTCCAGGCCGAAGGATCGACACTAAATCCCAGTCATGTCTTTCAAATATTACCAACTCCCTGTAGGCCATATTTTGGATAAAATTTCTCTGTTATTTTTCCCCGTTGCTAGGTTTTTGGTGATGCCGTTTGTGCGCTTGTGCATGTGTGCACGTGCTCACTCACGCACAATCTGCATTTTTTGTAAGACTTTTTAGGGTCTTTTTTTGACGGCGATCTCTTTCGCTTTCCTTCTTTAGAAACTATTTGTGTAGTCTTTTTTTCAGAAAGGAAGTATAAACTTCACTCTGCGTGCAGATATAAGGTCCGGCGTGTGGGAATCTTGTTAGCAAATGCATGTAAAGCCTTTGTAGTTAGGATAGGGCTCGTTGGAAGAACCTTATTAGGATGGATGGTAGCGTGCATCATCATTGTTTGCTGCTTCGTGCATACTGGCTGGGGAGCTCCTATTTGACACTCACTACGCCCAATAGGATTGTGACGCACAGGGCACTTCGTGTTGGGCCGACCCATGTAGCCGCGGCACTAATATCAATCCACGGCTACAGCAACGTTCAATCTGCTGTAGCGTTTGCAGGGATACTATTTGGCGCGCGGGTCATCAGTTATCGACCGAGCGCGCACCCTGCTTCCACGCTGAGTATGTCTGAGCCGGCCCAACATAGCTCATTTTCCATTTTTCTGTTTTCTCATTCTCATTTCCGGTTTTTCTCATTCACATTTTGTTTGTTTTTGAAACTATTTTTAAAATATGCGAGTATTTATTACAATTCTTCAACAATTTGCCAATTTCGAACAATTTTCTGAGACTAGTGAACATTCTTTTGAAACTCACGAAAACATTCTAAATGTATTATCATTTAAAAAGTTCACAGACCATTTTTTATTCCGTGAATATTTTATGATTTCTTGACACAATTACTAAAATTCACATTTTCGGAATTTTTTATCCTGTTTGTAAGCCCGAATTATTTTAAAGAAGAATACAACAAAAAACGAAATGAAAAATGTGAAGTTAAAAACGAAAAAAGAAAGCAGGGCGCGTCCAGCCCGCAAATGGGCCAGCCCAAAGTGGCGTGCCGGGGGGGAATGGAGGGTGTGCGCTGGCTTGTTTCACAGTGCGCACAGCGCTAAATAGGATAGTGCCCCTTTTTTTTAGTTCTCTTTTCTTTCTCAGTGACAAAAAAATTTTGAATTTTTTTCCGTAAATATTACCAAATTTAAAATTACTAGGCATTTTGTTTGTAAAACCAAAACATTTTTTTACAATTTTACACATTTTCTGAAAAAACGGAACAAAATGTGAAACGCGAACAATTTTTTGAGAAAGCTATAATTTTTGGATATTACCCATAAAATATGAAATTGCAAAAGAATAATAAAACATGAACATATCTTGAATTTGTGAACAAAATTTGTGTTTAAGAACATTTTCAAAATTCCTAAACATTTTTTAATTTTGGAATACATTGATAAAATGCGAATTGTTTCTGAATTTATGTAAAAAATTTGAAATCATAATATTTTTTGTATTTCGAAACTTTTTTGAAGAGATACAAGCACTTTTGTCACTCTTTTTTTGAATTTCTGAAATTTTTATGAAATTTCTTTTCAAATGCGAAAACAGTAGCATTTTTGTAATTGAAAAATGAACTTGAAATGTACAAAAAAGGAAATGGTAGAGAAGAAAAAAACGAAACTGCAAAGATAAAAACCAAAATGGGCCGGCCCAGGTGGTGGGAGCCCTTGTGTGAAGCCCCGACTACGCCGTCGTAGCGGCACATATGATTTGCCACTGGCTGGCTACAAAAAGCAATTGAAACAGGCCGGCTGTCCTAGCTTTGTTGCCGAATGATCCAGCAGGCCTTTTCTACACACATGCTCGACCACCGAGAAACCAAAAAAAAAAAAAAGACAAAAGTCGCTATGATGGCTTTCACTGTACAAAAATCGTGGAGGTCATAATTATAAGGAAAGACATGGTGCTCATGAAGAATGAATGTGGTAACTCCTAGCCAAAAGAGTAAAGAAATATTTTCACAGAAAAAGAAGAAATATGGTACTCCCTCTACTTTAGTGATCTAAAACATCTTATATTAGTTTATAGAAGAAGCACTTAATTAGCGTGTACCAATGACTTGCACACGGATTATCTTTTTCTTCAAGGAAGAACATGCATGGATTAATTTACAATCTACAAGCACATGTACAAAACGTAGACGTACCATGTATGTATGTACATGGCAGCACACATACACACAGAGTAGGTAACCAGCTAGCACACTGTTACTTCCTCCGTAAACTAATATAAAAGTGTTTAGAATACTAAAATAATGATTTAAATGTTTTTATATTAGTTTACAGAGGGAGTAGTTCGCAAACAAATAAAAAGGCCAGCACAGTGTGTTGCACTCTTGCACGTACACATGCATGCATACGGGTACGTAAGTGGAGTACATACGTACACGTGACAGATACATGCACGTACCCGCTAGCAATGTGCATGACGTGCGTACGTGTACATATACACGTACGCTACATGTATGTATGTAATGCAGATGTAGATTAGGATAGGGCTCATGTGAGTGTCCTCCTGTGCCGACCAGGCCACCACCTTGCATGATCCGATCCATCCATCAACTACCATTTATGTCTGGGGCCGCCGGCTGCCCCCTGACCCTCCTCTGCTGCCGTTGTTCCCCGCGCCGTTGCTGCTGCTGCCGCCGGTGGCATGAGTTCCGCCGTTGGAGTTGGCGCCGCCGGCGTCGATGCGGCGGAGGTCGTCGACGAGCCGGTCGTAGTGGCGCCTGACGTCGTCGGCCGTCTTGCCGCCGCCCACGGCGGCGGCGACGCGGTCCCAGCGGCCGGGCGTGTCACGGTCGTACGTGTCCAGCGCGCGCTCGAACCTCTCGTTCTCGCTCTCGCTCCACGCCGCCATGACCGATCAGATTAAGCTGAGCTAGCCAGATGGGTGTTCTTAATCTGTCTCTGCGACTGGCCTACGTGTGTGTCATTGCAAACCAAGTGTTCCATATATTTATACTAGCTAGCTCGACCGTAGGAAATTAATTAACTAAACCAAATGCAAATGCAAATGCGATGCAAAAGGTAATCGATCGATGTCACAATGTTAATCTAGTTGCAAATTGCAGGAATTGAATCAAGCTACCTACCTAGATTAGCATTGGCGAGCAAAACTACTGGATGGCATTTTATTCCCATCCCATGTATATATGTTTATCACACAAAATCAAAAGGTTTCAGTTGACTAACAAAAGTTAAAGGCACAAGAAATTCTGAGAAAACCAATGGTTTTGCCAATAATAGGGGATCTAATAAATCAGAATCTAGATCCTCTGTCTTTATGGAAATTAATAAGATAAGCTTAGCCAACCATATCCAAATTTGGTGGCATGGATGGCCCATTGCTAGTAATATATAGATGAGGATACTCCAAATAGCTAGGTTCCACTCCCATTCTCATCCATCCATCAGAGGCAAAAATAATAGCACTAGCAATTTTATATAAGTAGGTTAATTAGCATTGTCAAATCTGCCTTTGTGCCCAATATGCATCTAAAAGCCAGGGCATGAACTAGGGGTGTGGCTAGGTCTCAATCGACTTTGACTTGAAGAAAAAAGAAATGAAAAAAAAACTGAAATGAAAAAATATGTACGAATCTCCATGCAAAATCAAAAGAATATAGCAACGACCGAAACATAATGAAGTCTCAGTCAACCGAGACTTAGCAAAACTGATAAGCTAGTCATGAAACGACAACTTAATCTGCCTTCTAACCTCCATAATGTCTTTCTTCTGAGGAATAATGTACGTACGAGGACCATGTATGTGCACATAGATTCCTTAGTGTGCATCGGCTAAACAAGGCGATTATATCAAAGTCAGTGTGCTGACGCATGCGCCCTGCACCTGGGAGAGATTGCAAGCAAACAAGAGCAGTTTCTTAATTTAAATTTACATGGATGGTTTTGAACAAGTACCGCGATCATGGTTCTTACTTTCAGTGCAATTTCAGTAAAATTTCGTTACATACTAAAATAACTGCCTTTCTGTCAAAATATTTCGATAACTCTGGTAGTAGAAAAAAATTCAAAATATTTTAAAATTGTTTTTTGAATTTTAAAAATATCTGTTTTGATCTCAACCAAATTCAAGTGGAAATTTCAGTCCTTCGGCCCGAAAGGAAAACCGAAATCACCGACAATGGCTGAAATACTTCTGAAACTAAAATTCAAAACCATGACAGAGGTAGCTGGTTTATCTTATTCCTGGTCATCTTGAAACGAAATATTTATGTCGACATGCACAGGCTAGAGAATCTTTCCGACCATATTATTCATCTCCTACGTAAGCGCATCGATTAGCCATGGTTGTAAATATAATCACATAATGCAAAGTGATGCAGGGTGACCAATGCACAATGTAGAGAACCTAGCCATGGTTGTAAATATAATCACATAATGCAAAGTGATGCAGGGTGACCAATGCACAATGTAGAGAACCTAGCCATGGTTGTAAATATAATCACACAATGCAAAGTGATGCAGGGTGACCAATGCACAATCTAGAGAACCTGATGCTCGCTAAATACCCCCTCCGTCTCATAATGTAAGACGTTTTTTGACACAACAACAGTGTAAAAAAAACTGTCTTACATTACAGGGTAGAGGGTGGGGGTATTGATGAAGATGTGAACCATCGAATCAAAGCCGGATGGATGAAGTGGCACCAAGCTTCTGGCATTCTCTGTGACAAGAGAGTGCCACAAAAGCTAAAAGGCAAATTCTACAGGACGGCGGTTTGACCCGCAATGTTGTACGGCGCGGAGTGTTGGCCGACTAAAAGGCGACATGTTCAACAGTTAGGTGTGGCGGAGATGCGTATGTTGAGATGGATGTGTGGCCACACAAGAAAGGATCGAGTCCGGAATGATGATATACGAGATAGAGTTGGGGTAGCACCAATTGAGGAGAAGCTTGTCCAACATCATCTGAGATGGTTTGGGCATATTCAGCGCAGGCCTCCAGAAGGTCCAGTGCATAGCGGACGGCTAAAGCGTGCAGAGAATGTCAAGAGAGGGCGGGATAGACCGAATTTGACATGAGAGGAGTCCGTTAAAAGAGACCTGAAGGATTGGAGTATCACCAAAGAGCTAGCTATGGACAGGGGTGCGTGGAAGCTTGCTATCCATGTGCCAGAGCCATGAGTTGATTGCGAGATCTTATGGGTTTCATCTAGCCTACCCCAACTTCTTTGGGACTAAAGGCTTTGTTGTTGTTGTTGTTGTACATTACAGGGTAGAGGGAGCAGATATTTACGATGTGTCGTACTAGCATTGCTCCAGGCAAGAAGATAATTCCTACCTCACCTGGAAAAAAAAGGGAGATAACTCCTACCTAGCCCTGGAGTATATGGCATTTCCCTGAGATTTAGTCTTTGTAATCTGCATACATGTTGGTACTGATGAGATAGGTAAGCTAGGCATCCTCCATGTCCACAGGAACATCTGTGAAGATCAGGTACTGACATGGGTGTCCGAAAGAAAAGCGAAAACATCACACCAAGCAAACAGCAAGAGCCATTCGTGAAATTCTCGGCACAAGACAGTTGACTTAAACCTCATGTTCATGTCATAGCATCGCCAGCGACGACTCAGATGTCACACGACAAGCAAAAAATGGATAGCGGTAATAGGATCCGAATAATGGTGCACCCAGAGAGGGGCAGTCTGCCTGTTGAGTTGTAGTAGACAGTATGATGACACATGGTGCTGCTCTATGAGCAGGAACTCCCGCTTGCTCGCTGGCAGGCGGAGGCGGAGGCGATCAGATCTCATAGTTCCACGTGCTCTCCGCTACGAGCTTCGGTGCTTTGCTTTGATCGGACAGATCGAACGTCGTCGCAACCTGCACAGACAGAGCACGGCAGGATCAGATCAAAAAGCATACCTGTTAGATCAGATGATCTACAAAGTGAAACAACAAACAGACATGTCCAGCCAAATAATCAATCATGTGTTGTGAGGAAGAGGGATACTCTTATTTAGGGGGAGAGTGTATCCTGTGCACCCGGAGTTTATGTGCTACCAGTGGACCGAACATCAAAAACTTGTACTATAAGTACTAAAAAAATCCGAAAATAATTCAATATGAAGAAATACTCCCTCAGTCCCAGAATATAAGAACGTTTTTGACACTATGCTAGTGTTAAAAACGTTCTTATATTTTGGGACGGAGGGAGTAGCATACATCTAACATGTTACAAAATTTCAGTCGTAAATTCAACTCACAGCAAGAGAAACAAAAATAACAAATTCAGTTGTGGTAGTGCAAACAGGCCCAATTCATGGCCCAGTTTAAGTTAACAACATTCATGTCATGATTTGTCTTTTTGTTTCTCGAGGTGTGAGTTGAATTTTTAGTTAAAAATTGTAAGACATGATAGACATACATTGTGTTCGTGTACGCATTTATTTTGGGAAGTTTTTGCATGAGTTTCTGACATTGGTGCATTGGTAGCACAAGAATCACCGTTGCACCAGATACATGACTCTGGGGGTACACTGCACATATCAGCACTCTGTTCAACAGTCAGTCGCTTCAGTATTTCCTAGTGTTCGAGCGTTGGGTCTTGAAACAGAATCCGATTGGATAATGATGTTTTGAAGACTAGTTCTTACAAAAATCGATGTAATGAGTAGAACATGTACAAGGGACAATGGACAACCTCCTTGGAGGATTACTATTTGCAGACCTGCTAGATAAATCTGTGAAAAACACCACAGGAAGACAGTGCTCTGCATCCTCTCTTATTTCACCGTATTTCAGGCCCTACATGCTTTTCTTATTTACTCAGGGAAGACCAACTAACCTTTGACACCATAGCAATTGGGCTTCACAAAGATAAACCACATATACTAAGTTAAAAATTCTCTTGCTGCACTACATTATTGTCTCTATCTGTTTTGTAAGAGGTATAAACTTGGACAATTTGATGCATTTGCTATGAGATTTTCCTTTGCCCATTCAACATGATATAATTCATGGCTACTATATCATCTAACTTGGGCAATATCAGTTGGACTACCCCCAGGGCTATTCCATAGACAGCAAAAACAAGACCTTAAGATATGTCCGTAAGACGCACTATCAGTTCGACCACCCAAGCAGTAGCACTTTTGGCACACAGCAATTACAGAACACAGCAGCAATTATCCCCAACAACATAAGGCGATGTAGAAAACTGAGAGACAGGAATCCATTATCCAGGCCTTTGTGTTGGCTTGCTAGTAGAGATTAGACGACAATTTGCTGCTACTGCTCTGCTTCTGATGTAAGCCAGCATCCCATGCAATTACATATATGATATATGTATCATGCATCTCATCCAATACTAGAAATAAAACACCATTTTTAGTAAATTTGTCATGATAAATTTTTTGGTTCCTTTAAGGCATGATCTTCTGGTTATCTCATCTACCATCGGAAATACAAGTTGTATTACTATAATGTCTAGGCAAATATACGCACAAATAGTACAGATAACCACCATTACTAAATAGCTTTTCAGCTGTCACTATCCTTAAAGTTTCTTTACCAATTAATAAGTATAATTCAAAGCAGATGTTCAGGGAGCATCAGCTCTCTATACCCATATTTGGGATGAGCAAACTATATCTATACCCACATACATCCTTGTGGTACAAACATAATCACGGTCTTCCATGACTCAGCCAATCCACATCTTCAACCCCTCCCCCCATTTCATCAGTCCATGGGCGTCCCTCTGCCTCCTCAAGTCTAGATCATACTTGGAGTTACCAGTGCTTAAGCAAACTAGACAAAATTTGAGAAATATTGTTGCCAAGAAACTCATAAAGAAGAGTCAATGATGCTTAATTAGATAATCTAGTGCTTGTTCACTAAACAGACCCAATTCCTTCATTCTATTGTCTGCTTAGTTTTTAAGAAAGGAAAAGTTACACCTTCAGTCCTCAGTTCAGGCAAACAAAAACAAAAAGAGAAACATGGTATTTAGATGATGATCTCAAGACACCCTCAGAGCTAGCCTCATTGCAGTAATCTGCAGACACTACAAAATACTAGGAACTATCTTCAGTTGTATATATACAGTGATGTAAAATACTGAAACACAGGAATTCACTATAAAGGGCTTTGTGTTGAATGTTGACTTGCTAGTGGGTCATAAGACAAAGTGGTGCTGCTACGAATCTACATATATCTCAACTGATACTAAAGGAAACCATTGTCCTCCATGACACATCCATATCCTACAGTTTTAGTTTTGTCATATATATTCTTAGAACGCTCATACTATGCTCGTCATGTTCCGCATGCTGTGGTCTGTACTGGATCATTCTGGTGGAGGGACATGATGGCTCTCAGCTGGAATTTTCGTCCCATTACATCTTGTACGCCTGGCAACGGTGTTTCTATTGTCCTTTGGAAAGACAAGTGGCTTGGGCAGCCCTGGCTATGAAATTTCCTTGCGTATTTACCTTTTTCTGGATGAAGATGCTGGATTGAATGTGCTCATGCAGGAGGATCCATCGGTTGAACACCTATCCACTCATTTCACCATCCCGCTCTCTGAAACTGTGTTTCTTGAGCTTTAGCAACTAGCCTATTCGCTCAACGAGCAAGTTCTTAATGAGGATCATCCCAATGATTAATGTTTGGACTGCATAACTCTGGGAGATATTCCTCGGCCAGTTATTACAGTTTTGTGTTAAATGAGCTTCAGGCGCCCAAGGTTTTTTCTCTGGTTAGGACAAGCAAATATCTACTGAAGCAAAAAAGTTTTTCTCTGGTTAGCTCCTGATTTTATAATGTAAAAAATACCATAGGGGTTTCCCTTACGGTTTCACAGGTCCAAAAAAGATTGAGTTAGATACACTACACTCTTCCCAAGTTACTCTGTGAAATTAGATTACATTGTAGATCCGTACAGTGAGTTGAGAAACATTGGCAAAACAAATTAAGAACCATATGTGTGGGCTAGGCATGAAATTATTTAAGGGTTTGCAAACCACGCAGAACAAAATTTTAATACCACTCACCTTCCCTCACTGCTCTAGCTCCCCCATATTCAACACTAGCAATTAATCCACAGAATCATATGTGATCCATACACAAGATCATGGCATTCTGCACTATTCAATGATGCAAGGGTTCCACTGAAAAATGGTGGATTGGTTTCGTTCTAGGCATTACCACAGGCAAGCAAAAATGATGGATCGCGTAATCGAGATGGTACCTTGAAGGAGCCGCCGATGCTGGAGCTCCTGGTCCACTCGAGCCCGAGCTGCTTGGTGGAGGCCTGGTAGGTGCCCCTGACGACGTCCCCGGCGTCGAACTTCCTGGCGACGGCGAACTCCCAGGCGTTCTTGGCGGTGTCGTAGACGGGCTCGATGGTGGTGAGGCGGCCGGCGCCGTGCGCGTAGGTGTACTTGACCCGGCAGCCGCCCCCGCCGAGCGCGTGGGAGACGCTGACCTTGTTGGCGGGGTCGAAGGCGATGGAGAGGTCGAGCGCCGTGCGGCCGGGAGGCGGCCCCTTAGGCGGGGGCGCGGGCGCGGCGCCGGCGGCCGGGGCCGGGATGGCGGGCTTGGGCGCGGCGGGCGCGAGGGAGGTGGAGTGCGTGTAGGTGAGGCTGACCCGCTTGTCGAGCACCGTCGCCGAGTTCATGAACTGGAAGCGCACATCCTGCGCCGTCGCCGTCGTCGGCACGGGAGAGAATCAGATGGGATGTGGGAGGGGAAAGGGATGAACTTTAGGGAGGGGATTGGTTACGTGGTACTACCTGGTTGTGGGGCTTGAGGTCGAGGAGGAAGGCGCCGGGCTTCTCGAGGGTGAGGGTGAGGCCGTCGAGGGAGGGGCCGGCGGCGAAGGCGGCGTCGGTGGCGGAGGCGCGGAGGCGGAGGTCGCCGGCGGCGGCGAGCGCGAGCGTGGCGGCCGCGGTGGCCTTGTCGCCCTCGTAGCGGCCCTTGACCGTCGCCTTCATCCCGGCTCGCCTGGGCTTCTCCGGTTCCTTCCTTCCTTCCTCGGAGTCTCCGCCGCCGCAGCCGCCGCAGCTGGTGGTGGTGGAACTGGTGCTAGTGCTTGGAGGTTGGACCCAACAACCCTCCCCCCTTATCAACGGCCGGCCTCCTCTCCCGTTTATTTTTTCTCCCCTTTTTCGGTGGCGACTCCGTCGCCCACTATCATCTTCTTGAGCCCAATATCACCCTGCCTTGAGCCCATGACCAGCGTTGTGACTTCTTGTCATTGCTTTCCCAAAAAGAAGAGAGTGTCCAATTTTTTTTACTCAAAAAAAAAGAGACAGAAAGGAGTGTGCAATACTATGACATGACAAGATTTAATCTTTCGGATTAGGATCATGATTAAGTTTCAAGAACCACTTTGTTGGTGGGGCAACAAGTATTTTGCAGTGCTCAGGCAACCGGCCGAGAAGGGCGGAAAACCATCGTTGTTCCTGGTTTATGCCGATACAAACTTGCTATCTCGTGTATTTTGGGACGGAGGAACTGCTTATTTTCCCCACAACGGTGTGATTCCATAATCTTGCTAAGGTTGCAAAATGGTGGGACGAAGGGAGTACTACTTTATAGTGCTCGCTCAACCGAGAAGGGCGGAAAACCATTTGTAGTTTCTGGTTTATGCAAATACATATATCCTACCGCAGCTACAGTACATTACTCTCCACGGTATAGCTGGCTGCGCCCTGGATCCGGTGGCCATTTGCTCAGTTGCAATGCATGCCTTGTATAGTTGGACATGGCCTGCAGTAGAGGGGCGCGTCTAGGTCTCGCATGTAGCGACACCGAAGAATTCCTCACCTCCAAGAGCCTCTGCTTGGGCTGGCCAACTAAAATGTTACATTCGTTTGTTTTTCACAATTTTTAATATTTTGAAATAACCTAAATACATGTGTTTGAAACATCACTTCACTGAAATTTTTAAAACGTTCACCATGCGTTAAAAATATTGTTCATGTAATTTGTAAACGATATCATGTGATTCAGAAAAAATGTTCATTACATTTAACAAATGCTCACGCGTTTTAAAATCATGTTCGTGGCATTTTAGAAAATGTTGATACAATGTAAAAACGTGTTCACATATTTTTGGGAAAAAGGTTATTCACATTTAATGAATGTTTGTAACACTTTAAAACATTTTTGCACGTTTAAAAAATGTTCACGGCATTTATGAAATATGTTTAATGTGTGTTAAAAAAGTCCACCTTGTATTTAAATTTTTTGATGTGCATTTAACAATACATTAATAGTTATTCAGAAAAACAATCATCGTGTATTTAGAAAATGTTTAGAATGTATCTAAAAAATGTTCAACATGTATATAAAAAATATTGAATGTGCATCTGATAAATTTTCAACATGTATTCAAGCAAAAGTTTGTTCAACTTGTATCTAGAAAATGTTCTGCATGTATATGAAAAAATTAAAACATGTTTTCAAAAAATTCAACATGTATTTAGAAAAATGAAGAAAAAACAAAAAATTGAACAGAGAAAAAAACAAAGTAAACTGATCCGCAACCGCATGATATCAATAAAGACAACCATGATGGGCTTCCCTAGAAAAAGGGCAACACTACGCACATGCCACTCCAATGCATATATACCACAACATCGTACGGTGGAAATTGACCTTAATCTACCTACAAAAGGTGTAGGAAAAAATAGATCCTAATAAGTCTTAATATGTATCGACTGTATTGTAAGCTTCATCCCGCCACTCAAGGAAGCACGTGGCATGATAAAAACAACGAAAACAAGGCATTGTAGTAAATGAATGTGAATGGGGAGAAAGGAGATGCAGAGAATTATTTTATTTTACATACTACAAACATTTAAATATCTCACAACAGAAATGTCATATCCACGGCCGCCTTGTTTGAACTTCACGGTATTTTAAGGGTGAATTATTTTGATCTAGTCGGCAAAAACATGGAATCATAATTATCTCTCAAGTTAGTTAATGGACATCCAATAAATGTATGATAAATTTGCATACTCCTATTTTCCGAGGGATTGCAGCATAGACATATTTTGCTCTACACAGTAACAACATGGTGTATAATTAAAATACATAGAACATAGAACTATTAAGAACAAAGACTAAGCATTAAACAATACCCCTAACAATCACCAAGCCATTTCACCTTTTCAAAATATTTATTCACACCTTGATATTTCTCCCTCTTTTGTTCTTCGGGTCAATTGTATCATAAACTACATCCGGTGACGGTCATGACATAAATCTTAGATTAAGGTTGCAAAGAGAGCCTTGTCACAAGTATAAAAATTGTTTCAATATGCAGTGAACATCAAATTTTTAGGGTGACAAATCATACGTTTTTAGGGCAAACTATGTTGTCACAAGGATGTAAATTTCCTTTAGCAAGCACGGCAAAATCCGACATGTTCAGTTTTGCCAGGATTTGTTGTGCTTGCCAATTGAATTGTCATCCTCGGTACAAAATAATTTGCAATAAGTAGTTTAATTTTCCACCCCTAAAAAAAAATCTTGAATTGAGTGTCTGGCTGGTCACAGCCCCTTCGGAATGAACAACTGCGTCAGACGTAAATAACACGTGAAATGGAAACTAACAAACTTCTGTGGTGGCCTTGGACCAGTGGCGGAGCGTGAAGCAAAAATGAGGAGGAGGCAACAGGCAACTGGTTCAGATTTATGAAAAAATAGCAAGTGACAGCAAGAAAATGCAAGTTCATCTATGTATCAGATATTTAGAGCCATTGGAAAATATGCACATATATATTAATATATAAAAATGTGTACAGAATATAGCAGTCTAAGAGCACCTAAGCATACTGAGGCATTTAGCAAGCTCCTAACCTTTCAGCAAAATACGAGTCAAACATGGATAGTTAGACATCATGGATGATTCGCTCAAGAGTTGCTCTCCTCTTCTTCCGATCTTTGAAGTCAGCAATTATATTTTAAAAGGTGAATTTTGTTGCAAGTTCTCGTTCAACTTGTATAAGCAAGCGAGGTGTTCATCTTCCATTTTGTTGTGCAACCTTGTCTTGATAATCTTCAAGCTAGAGAAGGCACACGGAGAGTAGCGATTCAGTGCCATGGCTCATCTGCATCTTTGATGAAGAAAAAATTCAAAACAAATACTAGAAAAAAAATCATTGTTTGCATGGTTGATAATTTGATGCGTGAGGTGTGCTTCAAATTTCAAGCCATTTGAACATATGAATAGCTCTTGAGGAAAAATACAAATTTATGGTCTGTAAAAAAATTATTGTTTATGTATTGTTCTTATCCAGATTTTTTTATTGCCGAGAGCTAGTCATATGTCCAATGATCTAAAATTTGGAGCACGTCGCACGTACAAAAATAGCTACCATGCAAAAAAAGGATATTTTAAATTTTGTTTTGTATTTTTTATTTTCATGACCGAGTGCAAATGAGTCTGGACTCAGAAATGAATATTTGGAGATACACATCTTTTTGTTTGGTGGCACACTGTAGTAGCTAGTTCCAAATAGTACATTGATATAATCTCGAACTAAAGTAGACACTACGTACTTGTTCTTACAAGTAGAAAATAGGGCTTTGGTTCTGGTCAGGTCAGAGCTTTAGACCTGGTCCAGCTACGAACCGGGACTAATGGATGCATCAGTCCCGGTTCGAGCGGTCAGGGAGCCGGCTGGGCCTCGGCAGGCACTAGTCCCGGTTCGTCCGACTTCTTTAGTCCCGGTTCCAGACACGAACCGGAACTAAAGGTACTAGTAGAAAACAGGGTTTTGGTTTAGGCCTAGCCAGCCCATTAGTCCCGGTTCAGTCACGAACCGGGACCCATGGGGCCATACGTCCCGGTCCGTGAGCCCAGGTGGTCAGCCGGGCCTCGTTGGGCATTGGTTCCGGTTCGTCTGGACCCTTTGGTCCCGGTTCCAGACACGAACCGGGAACAATGGGCCTCGCTCCTGACCCACATCCATTGGTCCCGATTCGTGGGTTGAACCAGGACCAAAGAAGGGCATTTAGTTTCGGTTCTAGCCACAAACCGGAACCAATGATGTGGATATATATACCACCTCGCCCGCGAGCAGAGCACTCCACTGCTCTGTTTTTTCTAGCCGGCGAGGGGAGGGCTTTGTGGTGCTCTAGCTCACCTCCTATGCACATGAGGTGTTCGATGAAATGCCCGAGCCACACTACTTAAGATTTCTCCTCTCCAAGCTCGACCTCCAAACTCCATTTTCCTCAAGATTTGTCTAGGTTTAGCGGTACGTCCCGTCCCATCCCCGTCTTCACCGTCGTCGATCGCCCGCGCCGATCTCGTCGCCGGCACCACCGTGGCGAGCCTCTTGTTCTCATCTTATTTCTAAAAGAAAAAGTTCTTACTTGTATGATTTAGATCAATTGTTACCTTGGTTGCAATTATGATCGCATTTTCCTACTTTTATTATTGTTTGTTATTATATAGTGCGATGGTTTTGGTATCCGCCTCCGTCGGTCCTCGTCCTGTATATGATTCGGATGTGGTATATATTATCTTTTATAACTATTTGGTTCATTTATTGTTTATGACAATTATTGTAACACCCTCGATGCGACTATAACTCCCACGTGTCGAGGCACGACTTAGAGACATAATCACATTGAAGGCATATTTCGCAAGTTAGGCAATCTTCACAACATCCCATGTAATATAGATAATAAAAGGGGAGATAACATAGTTGGCTTACACTCGCCACGTCAATCAAGTACATAAATAACATTACATCAACCAAACACTCATGGCCCAACTACGGCGCCAAAATAAAAGATAACCCAACATGCGACACGGTCCCGATCACCCCCAACTGGGCACCACTACTGATCATCAGGAAAGGAAACATAATAACGCTGAGAGTCCTCGTCGAACTCCCACTTGAGCTCGAGCACGTCACCTGGAGCGGAATCATCAGGCCCTGCATCTGCTGTAATAGTAATCTGTGAGCCA